TTGGAACGGACTCCACGGCACACTGCCATCACCGTGCCCCATGGGCTGGACATTCCCCATCCCTACTATACAATGATTTAGGACCGAGCAGGAAGAGGACCATGGGCTGAAGGGTCCCCACCTCACCCATACTTTGGAAGGAGGATGAGGCAGTACGAGGAAGTCTACACCCCCACTCATACTGGGCTGATGTCAAAACTGCCAAGGAGACGATAGAGTCAGCACTTCTGACTGCTCTCTGCAGTCCCAGCGAAGACACTGGGGCATGGAGCGCTGCCCTTGCCTAGGTATCCTGCTGGCCTCTGAGGAGGAATAGAGTGGCACATTTCAGTTTAGGATCATCACAGAGACAGAGTGGGATTATCAGAGCCCCTTGATACTAAGGGGATAAATGGTAAGCCCTAACAAAGAAAGCCATGACTTAGTACTGACATTCTTTTCATAGTTTTAGCTCTAACTTGGGTCTAGTAGCAATAATAGAAGTTTAAACCCGAGTCCCCTTGCTAAAATATCAGAGATTCTTCCTCCCATCTAAGTACACAATACAGGGTTCCAGCCTAAGGCCCTGCCACCCACTTGGCACCATTCTGGGCACAGTGTGGGTGACTGTGCTGGCTGTCTGCAGAAGATGCTGGGACACTGGCCACAGAGACTATGGGGGTAGCCCTGATGAGTGGTCACCTACTGGCGTGTTACAACCTTAGAAACCCAATGGGGCAGTTCTACTCTGCACACATGGGTCCCATGAGTTGGAATCCACTTGGGGGCCACTGACTTTTTTGCAGAGCTAATATTATACATAATAGGCTGAAGTCTATTAGATCTGTGAGGTACCTGTGAGCAAAAGCCATTCTGGGAAGGTAGTATATGGCTGTATGAAGTCAGTATAAGAGGGCTGGACTTGGCCCCACCTCAGCGTGTCAAAGGGACAGATCACTTCATCCTCCAGTCAGACACCAGCCCATTTGCCAAGGAGGCAGTATGAATCTGCACTTTGCAGAATGGAAAAGATTTTGGAAGAGAAGGGTTTCCAGGAAGAAGATAAGGAGAAGACACAGAAAAGCACAGGATGCTGGAGGAAAGGTCAGAAGGCAGGGCATCCCTGTGTAGAAAGGAACAGGCCTGGTGGTCACTGACAGGGACAGATAAGACTTTATGGTGAATGGTCCACAATGCATGACATGAACTCCTTCCATT